CCTGCTGAGAGCTGTAACATATAAACTTGTGCTTCCCAGGCGTTACTTTGAGGAATATGCACTTGAACTTTACCAAAAATTATTTGTGCTCCCAATTTATTCAGTAAATCTTGTCCCATCAGAGCTAATGGACATTCTAGCACATACAAAAACTCGTGGGTTAATACTCTGTTCCCAATTTTGCACATCATAGGCTGGAAAAAGGGTTTAACCTCTTGTTTTCCCATGGCACCAACTATTGACATAAAGAATTTACTCATAGATCCTTTACAACTATTTAATACTGAATAAGTTGCCCCTGTGTCCACTAAGAAATGAAGAGTTTCATTCCCCAGCTTGACTGGAACCAGGGGCTCAGCTGGAGAATTAATTTTTCTGCCCCTGGTCCCTGTCAGTAGTAATCTTCTGTACTGATCATTAGTAAATCTGCCTCAGGAATAGGAGCAGAGGGTGGTGACCAAGTTGGTTTTGGTTTTAGGCATTCATTTTTCCAATGTCCTTTTTCTTTACAAAATGCACATTAATCCAACCCCCAAGGGGTTCTGTTGCCAATGTTTCTTATTGCTTCTCATCCTCTACCACATTCCCATCCTCTTGGGAAGCCCCATCCCCTAGAGGATATTTGTGCTTGAGTAAATGCCGCTGCCAAAATGGCAGCTTTTCATTTTTGATCTTTCAATTTTTCTTTCTGTTTTTCTTTCTCTTCTAATTCTTCTCTATTATTATAAACTCTACAAGCAATTTCAATTATCTGTGACATTGTCATTCCAGGCATACCATCTACCTTCTGCAACTTTTTTTCTTATGTCTGGTGCTGATTGCCCCGCAAATAAGTGTTGTAAATGTTACACTATTAGCCTCAACCTCTGGGTCCCAGTCTGTCCATTTTTGAGCAGTCTCACATGATCTTTCATAGAAGGCAGAGGGATTCTTGTCTTTGCCCTGTACCACCTGATACAATTTTGAAAAGTTTTTAGGTCTAGGCATCCCATGTTTTACTCCGTATAAAATTAACTGTTGATACTGTTTAATCACCAATCACCCTGCTCCTGTGTCCGGATTCCAACCAGGTTCTTGTGCAGGCATACAATGATCCAGACCATCCCTGGTGTTTAACCTCATATTTTCCTCTGTGTTTTTTCTCACACCATTCTCTTCTCCCCAGGGAGAAGTAAATTATCAAGCAATGCCTGCATACCTCTCTAATCTGGATTACGATTTCCAACTATTGTCTGGAAAGACCAATATACTTTCTCTGGATTATCTCGATATGACCTGGCAGATTCTTTCCAATTCATCAGATCTGAGGTAGAAAATGGCACTTTTACAGGTACTCTCATTCCATCTGGCCCCACCGCCTCACGGGCTTGTAGCGTCAGATTTTGCTGGGCACAAGTTCTGCTTCTAATAGGACTAAATCTTCTAGCATCACCCCTCCCCTGTGAATCATCATTCTGTTCACTACCAGTGTAAACCAACAATTGTACATCATCTTCCTCATTATCCATTTTTATGCGTCTTTTCCCAATACTACAAATAGAACAAGAAGGTAGTTTCGTTTTCTCATTCATCATCATTAAAACATTAGAATCAGAAACCAACAATTTACATTTCTTTCTCACTTCAAAATCATTCCGCAAGGTGAAAAATGCATCCACGTATGGAACCTCATCCCACTTACCCTGTCTTCTATGAAATAACATGAGTTGTAAAATAGTATTTTAATTTAGAGTTCCCATTTCAGGCCATTTTTCACCATCACCCAATTTATACATTGGCCACCACTGACTGCAGTACTCTCTTCATTTCTTCTTTGTTAGGGGATCCCCACAAAACTTATCCCAATGCTTCAGGATGCATCCTAATGGAGATCAGAGGGGGAGTTCAGCAGACTACCTTACCCCTTGTCCTGATCCCATATTGTTACCCAAAAAAGAACGTTCTTACCCAAGATTTCATGCGCTGCAGTTGTCACTGTCAAGCGTGCACGAAGCCTATAAAATACCTTTAATACAGTGTTTCACCTGTTACACCCCCCTTGCCATGTCTCTTAATTGATGTGTTGCACCTTTGAGGTGCTTACCCTCTCTGATTGGGGAGAATACTCGTGGAATCCCCGAACAAACAGGTCGGTGCGTGCTGGAATCCTAAGAGCAGCTCCTCCCCACCGGCAGCTGGCAAGTCGATCCAGGCAAGGCTTCATGGTCGTCCCAACTGGGTCACCAAAACCTGTTGTCCGAAAAGTGGATTCATGGGCCGTGTGCAGTAAGTCAATTGTCACACACTCGGGAGAGATGCTGCTTATTATTCGATTTCTGCGCAGAGATGGGTGCTAGGTAGTAATTCCCCAAAGCTGGCACACCTTGGTTAACACACAGCAGCAGTTTATACACTCAGAGAAACAGCTATCAGTCTTTTCACTTGGGGGGGGGGTGGCGTGATTTTTACCATGTTAATTAGGACAGTTCACTCAACGTTCAAGTAGTTCTCACTTCAGCCTAATCAAAGGTTTGGTTTCTTTGGTGCTCATCTTGGTACTTTCTTGTGATTCATCGTGCCATCCCTCAAATCTTTTGACCTTCAGAACATCCTGGACTGATAAATGTCCCTAACTTGTCAACTTAATGTATGTTCCACTAAATAATCAGACCATTTTAAATTTCTGAGTTACTCTTCAACAGGTGGACGTGAGAGGTGCTTGAAGGAGCTGCCTGCATGGAAAGCAGCTGAGGAACACGAAGGTTTTCTTCAAATAACTCTGGTTTCCGGGAAGAAAAAAAACCCATGTGTTTTCTAATCTAGTTCATCACAAAAAGCACATTACATAATTATCTGTTTACATGGCATCACAAGGAATTTTCAGCACTGGTAACCTCGGTGAAGTGCTTCTTGCAAAGCCTACATCATTTAAAATATCACTAACTAGTCCTGGGATTTATTCAGGGTTGTCTGAATTTAAATCAGTTTTAAAAAGCAACTCAAATCAAAAGGATGCAAAACCTTGTCATGTCAACACTCCCTGTCTCATTTAAAGCTTTTCCAGCTTGATATTGGTTTAACTTAACTCCACATCAAATCAGTGTTCACACAGGAGCCTTGACCCATTTAACTGACGCATTTTTAAATAGTATCTCCCATTTCACAGCTGCAACTCTGAATACAGGGAGAGCAGCCTGAAGGTCCATCTACCTTAGCAGTCGCGCCAGAGGGTTTCTACCCTGACTCCAGTAAATTGAGTCAATCGCTGACTTTCTAAGAGGTTTCGATACTACCACAGAAATATTCATTTTTCTAGAACAATCTCTTCAAAATAAAACCACATTGAAGCACACCTACTAACTGGATGTTTTTAGCTGCATATTACACTACGGAGAAGGAGCCAAATGTTCCCCTGTCACTCAACCCACCGCTAAAGATGGAAGTTGCTCTTTTTCTACTGTGGTTTGTAAAAAAGAGGGGCTGTCTTTTATCAGGCCAGCTGCCACCGAGAAAAAAAAAACAGGTAAGCTTTTGGGCAGAAGACCTTTCTTCGGGTCTGAAATAGCAGCAGTAGTCTTGAAGGTGAAAACCAGCAGAGAACGACTTACAAATTTGATTAGATTATTTAAGCAGCTAGACCTTCCGGGGCGGAAAAAAAAAGGGGGGGGGGGGCACTGATATCTGGAGTGAAGGAAGGGATAAGCAGGGGAGGAGGAGATAAAACGAGCTCCTCTGGCACACACAAAGAAAGCAATGAGTAATTTACTGCCTGAGGAGGGCGAGGGACAGGGAATTGCATCCTGTGCCCTGTCTGTCAAGCCCGGGGATTGTTAGCAGCATTAAGCATTTTAGGTCCCATGATGCCTGTTGAAAGTATTTTGTTGGTCTCCTAAGAATCAGGGTTCAAGGGAGCTCTGCATTTATTTCAACTGTGACAGACTGCTGCAGAAAAGTATGTGCCGGGGGCAGGGGGGAAATGAAGCCTAGGTATTACTGTCCTTCTGCCTTTTATTTTGCCCCTGACTGCTGGGCTTAATCTCACTTATCTGTGGAGAAATAAGAAAAATATACCTGCCCCAACCAGTCCTTTCACAGGCACAAAAGTGGTGTCTCCGAACATACCCAACTCGATTTATCCCAGGGAGTAATAACAAGAAGAGTCTTAACAGCTCCTTAACTATCTGTCCATTAAAAAAATATCACTTATTTGGAGAAGGCACGGCACTCAGTGCCATGAACACAAGTCGCGGCCCTTGCAAGGCATCAGGAGCGTCCCAGCAGCGAGGGAGCACAGCCCACGCCGCAGTCAGCATTACAGGGGATGGAGATGATGGCCGGCACCCTGGGAGGCGAGAAGGCAGCGGCTGGGGGCGGGGGGGGACCCACGTCGCCAGGCTGTCAATGCAGGGAGAGCCGCACACGGCACAGCGGCACCCCCGGCCGCGGCGGGGGGCAGGCAGCAGCGCTTCCCTGAGCTGCCTGGGAAGGGCGCGGAGCGGTTCTCCCGGAAAGCCGGGCTTGCGCCAGAGCTGGGGAGTTAAGATTCATGCCCGGGTCAGTCAAAAAAA